CTGGGAAGTAAAAGGGCTGTATCTTGTGAGGATTTTCTTGCTGGTGGGAACTCTCTGCAGAGTACCAAAGTGATAAAGTACATCGCATGACAAGGGGGCTCATGAAAGAAGGTTAGCCTGGCTTTTAATAACAGATCACTCTTGTGATAACTAAGTCACTTCATAATAATCCATTAATCCATTAACCCATCTATGGATTAAATGCATTTATTAGAGCAGAGCCTCATGACCCAATTATCTCTTAACATTCCCACCTTGTGGTACTGTTACATTGGGGATTAGGCTTCCAACACATGCACTTTTGGGGGACACATTCAAATCACAGCAAGAGCCAAGAGAATTTAATAGTCTCTCCCACCAACCCTGACCTCCTATTTTCTAAGGTGCTTCTTCCTCAAAAGCCAGTGTTGTTCTTTTTCCATAACTACGTGATCAGAATAACCAATTCCCAAAGGCAACCACTGCACATTTTCTACCCCATTCTCATAATTTTTAACATCTCATTTAATCACATCTACCATCCAACTATTCAGTGTTTTATTCCTTATGTCATTCTGGAACATCTCTTGCCCTTTGATATGTAGGCCTCACCTTCCATGTTGGATCCTTCCAACCAGGATCCACCTTCCATGTTGTCATTAATACTTATGAAGATTGTTGAAAATATCCATAACTTTCCAGGTGCAGTAAGCATAACCAGGTGGTAAGAGAAGCACCAGGCTAGAGTCTCCCACCTGTCAGCTCTTTTTTGCCACTGATAGGTTCCTGCAGCCAAGTTTCCCAGAGGTATGTGAGAGGAAAATGGAGAGTAAGAAAGGTTAATTATGTGGTTTGGAACTCAAACTGCTAATCAGGACCTCTTCTTCCCTTCTTCGCCCAATGTCATAATTAAATCTCATAGTTCTATCTAAAGGAGGAGCATTTCTTTGGGCAATTGCCATATTTATAATGCATACTTTTAAGTGCGTGATCTAGTGAGAGTCTTAGCTGTCTGCTCAGCTTTTTATGCTCTCCTTTAACAGTACCATTTTTAATTTCTTAACGGTAACTGGTTCTTTGGAATAAGATGGGGCACGATAGGACCAGTGAATGCTCCAGAGAATAGTCTATTGCTAGGTATTCTTGGCTGTAAAGGTGGCATCATTCTTTGACTAGTTATGTTTAGAAATTTAAGTGTGTGACATGGTCCACTTAGGAGTTCTTGAGTGGTATGGTCCGTATCTGCCATGTAGATAGAAATTGTTGTGCCACACCCAAAAAACATTTCTAGCACAGTCAATGCTGGTAGTATCCTCCAGAAGAGGGTAGTGTGTCTGTATGGTCTATTTGCTAGGGTCTTCCAGGTTTGGTGACCCAAGCTATGTGCCCTGGAGTCCCTTTGTCATTTGTATTAGTTTCCTGGGGTTGCCATGACAAAGTACCTAAAATTGGGGGGCTTAAACAATAACAATTAATTCTCTCACAGTTCTGGAGGCTAGCCTCTATGCCCCTACAACACGGTAGGGCCATTTTTTTTTTTAAGATGGCATTTTGCTCTTGTTGCCCAGGCTGGAGTGCAATGGTGTGATCTCGGCTCACTGCAACCTCTGCCTCCCGGGTTTCTGGGTTTAAACAATTCTTCTGCCTCAGCTGCCCGAGTAGCTGGGATGACAGGCATGTGCCACCATGTCCAGCTAATTTTGTACTTTTAGTAGAGACGGGGTTTCTCTATGTTGGTCAGGCTGGTCTTGAACTCCCAATCTCAGGTGATCTGCCTGCCTTGGCCTCCCAAAGTGATGAAATTACAGGCATAATTGCCTCTAAGGAACATGGCCAGGGCCATTTTTTTCCTGAAGCCTGCTGGGGAGAATCCTCCCTGGGCTCTTCCTAGCTTCTGGTTGTTGCTGGCAATTCTTAGCATTCATTGGCTTGTAGACACATCACTCCAATCTCTGCCTCTGTATCAAATGGTGTTCTCCAATGTGTCTCTGTGTCTACATTTCCCTTACCTTATAAGGACACCAGTCATTAGAAAAGGGCCTACTTAATCTACTGTGACCTCATTTTAACTTGATTACATCTGAAAATACCCTATTTTCAAATAAAGTTACATTCACAGGTACCATGTGTTAGGATTTGAACTTCTCTTTTCGAGAGGACACATTTGATCCACAAAAACCTGGCCTCTGTCCTCCCAACCCCTGCTAAAATTCGTATCTTTCCTATGTGCTAAATATATTCACCTCATCCCAGCCATGTAATGTCAGTCAAGAAATGTAACTCTTGGCGATTGGGGGAAGATGGTCAACTAGGAACAGCTCAGGATTTCAGCTCCCAGTGAAAGTGCAGAGGGTGAGTGGATGCCGCATTTCGAGACAGATTTTTATGGCACACAAACAAGGAGAAGATTCCCAGGCAGAGGAGCCCCACAGGTCGCCAGCTTGGCTGTTTCGGCCAGTGCAGCTGTTTCGGCCAGCATGGCAGTTCTCCATACAAAAGACACTGGTCCGGGTGCCCTCTTAGCTGGCGATTGGAGCCCTGAGATGGCAGAGTTGCCCAGGCATCTGAAATAACGAGCCAGGCCAGGAGATTCCTAGGCCAAAAAACCGCCAGGAATCTCAGCGCTGCTGTTTCAGCCGGTTCAGTGAGTTGCAGCATGGGAGATCCCAGAGCCTTTACAACAGGCGACTGGAACACCTGGGAGAGAGTCCACCATT